AGATGGCACAAGGAACACTTCCCTCAGCAGAACGAGGTTGTGACCATGGGCAAGCGGTCACCCAAATTGAGGTGTTGCCAGAACATTTGTCTGAAAAGTGAGTCTTGTACTTTCAGTGTCATTCTCAGATCTAACACAATATTATAGGAAAAAGCAGGCTCATTGCAGCCAAAGAACTTGCTCACTGTCTTACTATAGCTTCCTTTCATGTGGGGGTGAGTGTTCAGTTAGTGTCTGACTTGGTAAAGTTCTTATCAATTTATAGCAAAAGACAACAAGTCGGCAATTGTGGTCTCACTGGGGATGCTTGAAGCAGGGTCAACTGCACTTCCATCGGCGTGTGGATGAGAACGACGGAGTCCATGTGTCAGGTTTGGGGGGCTTCAATCGTCTTGCTGACAAGCAGAAGGAGGTGATCACTGCTACAATTGTTGCAGCAGATCAACCTGGCCCTCCTCCTCCTGATCCTAAGTCAGCAGCAGGAATTGCGCGAAAGGCCAAAAAAGCGAAGGCGCGGCGGGAAAGCAAGCAGAAGCGTTCTGACTTGGCCAAACTGGGGGAGTGTCTTGCCACAGTGCAAAGGAGACTGGGCAAGAAAACCTTTGTGAGTGATTCAATTTAACTCATTTCAATCTGACTGACTTAGTTAATAAATTTTAGGCAAACATTCTGCCTAGTTAGATATGTGGTGTGGATGTTCCAAGTCTGCTGATATGTGACTGCCAGTGTGTTAGAAAATAGGGATTCACTTGTAATGAGCTTTAATACTTTCTTCTATATATATAACATTAATGTGTCGATCTGTGTGAAACAATACCAAGAAAAGAGGAAGTCGTATATAACTGGGCTGTTGGAGCAACAGAGAAACAGATGGCAAGCATGCATCGGAATGACGGTGCAATGGTGCGGTGGGCATGTTTGTCCACGGGCAAAGCGATGCCCATACGGGACAATTGCGTCACTGACCTGTTCGCTTGTTGCTCCAATATAGATCAGATTAAAAGGAATTTACTTGATTATAGGTGACTAAGATATGTTTAATATGCAGAGTGTAGGTAAGTAAGATACTACTTCTTGGGAGACTTCTGCGCTGTAACCTGCTGTGGAACATGGGTCGGAGTAGTTAGCACATGAGCAGGACGAAGTTTACTGTAACGAAGGTTGTGGACGGGTCGGATAATGACAGAGTGTGCATTGGATCGCACATGACGCTTACGAGGCTGGATATGATCACTTGTAGTAACACGGTGCTTAAGGTGAGTATTAGTGGAACGAATATGAGAAGACGATGCAACAGGGGCAGAGACAATAGTGTGAGAAGGACCATGATTGTTGTGTAGATTAGGTAGCTTGATAGCAGACACCGATTGAGCATCAACAGGTAGTGATTGTGTAAGAAGGCGTGCAGAAGCACTGGCCGTTACACGAGCCCGATGGCGGTCAAGTACCTGCTGAAGGGCATCAACAAGGGTTAGAGACAGTGGAATATTGGCCATGACAATGAGTTGGGCTGTGTGGAGAGCATCAGATAACAATCTTAATGAGCAGTGAAATAACACAAACCAGATAAGTAAACACTTTATGTGTATAAAGGAGTGTGTTGAGTTGTGAGTAGAGACTGTATGAATGTCAGCATTGTATGAAAGAACAGTAAACAAATGCCACTTACAAATTAAGGATGGAAGAAGAAATGGGAATGGAAGCAAAGGTGAAGGTATATATATACCAGGGTAGTTTAGGGCAGACTAGATCTGATCATTTGATAGACCAATGGGGAATGATTTGTAAGCAAACAATATATGCACAAACACAACTTACGTAATCAAAAAAGCGGAAATTGGCACAAGTAATTGAGCAGCAGGAGTCCATCGGAACTGTGTAACCTTATGAGCATGATCTAACCTTAGAAAAGAATGTGAAACCGTGTATTAACGTGAAGTACATACAATATCCAGTCGGTTCATATGATGAAACCGGATGAGTTGACGATATGGGCGATGAATGATACTCCAGAAAGTGGTACCGAAATCATCTTCGACGATGGTGTCGGTGGAGACAACAGG